TGATTTAGTATGTTGGAGCTACCTTGTTCTGCCTGGATTCAAGTGCTGTACTGTAGTGATGAAAAACACATGCTGTGCTGGGCAACAGCACTCAGCCGCACAGCTTCAAGGACTTTAACAGGGTCAAGCAGCTGTTTGGCCTTCAGGCTGCTGATAATGATAATGATCCCCTTTGCTCTTTAACAGTCTGAGCTCATGATGTGGCCAGTGTAAGGCTGTTTAGACTTTCCTAGCTTTATAGAGAAATTCTTTTTATTTCTTGTTCCCTAGCAGCTGTAAGGATGTGAAGTCTGGGACACACACTACAAGAATCTGCTTCTTTCTGACCCACAAAGGCTGTGGATGAGTGTCCCTACCAAATATTTCATCTTATTCAAGAGTGGTGAAACCTCTGCATTCAACACATTTTCTCTCAAAACCTAAAAAGCAAACAGTGCCACATGCAGTTAACTATGTGCAAGTTCAGAGTGTGTTACTTCTCAGATCACTCTTGGTATCCTCACCACTGCTGATGATTTTGGAGACACTTCAGTCCAATTGTCTAGCCCTAATGATTTGGCTCCTATCAAACTCGATCAGGTCTTTAAAAATGCCCATTTCGCCCACATCCAATATGCTCATTATGAGAACTGTCGATTCACTTCCCATCTAAAATATCCCAGATCCTTACAGGTGCCTTTCTTACAAGAGAGAGATAGTGATGATAATACAGATCTACAGATTTTCCAGAGCTGGGGGCCCAGACACCCTGTGAGCTGAGCATCAACAGGTAACCAGAGTGCAGGGCACCAAGGTGTAGTATGATATGATCACTTAAGTCAGAATACAATACTTTTAGGATTATTGCTGTTAATATTTATCAATAAATATTTATGCATGGTAAGTCTGAAAAGTCATTATTGTCTGTTGTACCCGGTACGTTTTACCATTGCTAACTCTGAGAGACGAGACAGTCCAAGTAACTTCAAAACAGTGCTGATTTATTCAAAGGATCACAGGTAAAATTAACATTACACGCTCAGGTATCTTGCACCTCCAAACTGCTCGGAGGCAGATGTAAGATGAAAGACCCTGAATCCACCAGGCCTATACATTATATCCCTTCAGTTGGGCTAGCCTCATACTACACAGAAACGTCAACCGAGACGTCTCTGTTACCAGCTTTGCAGCTGGTCATAGCAGTAGTCAAAACATGAAGCAAATCAATGTGTGTGTGTCTGTTGGTTAAGTGGTGTGTAGCTAAAAACATTCTCACAGACTTCTAGTAACATGTCGTGACTTAAACATAAGAACATATTATGGCTAAGGCTACAGTTATACACGTCATAATAATAATATTAAACATCCTGTCTGCTGACAGTCATCAACTCTTCTCTCTAGTTATCCTTGACCAGATGTACCCTGTAGAAACTCATAAGCATGACTAAGCATTTAACAGTCTAACTAGACATCCTATCTCCACTAAACATTTCTAATACTTAAAGTATCTATCCAATTTCTATCTGACTAAAAATACCTAACATTGTCATTTAATATCAACAAAATATGGCATTAAATCTTTTGATGTGTCCAGGAGATAAAATCTTAGTTTCTACCACTCATTGAAAAAGTACTGAGGCCTTTATCACAAAGCTTAGTCTGGCTCTCTTGGAGTTATCTGGCTTTACTGAGCCAAACATCATCTGTCCTAGATAACCGGTACCACACAGCTGGTTATCAACTGGCTCTGTTAAGTCTGGGTTTATGTTTTAATAAAGGCCAGTGACTCCTTTCATTTTTCTGCCTTACAGGTATGTGTTTGATTCCATACCAAGTTGACACAAATAATGTATTTGGTAAATACATTTATTACAACTGATCAAAACATTTTACACAATTTATGAAAACAAAAATTCCATGGTTGCTTTGCAGAGTTCTTATTCACAGATGTTATAAAGTATATACATGGCAAACATGTTTCGAGTCCCACCGAGTTGTAGGTATGTCAGTGTCACTTCAGCAAGTACCTCAGTTGGTCTTGCAGGTTTTTAGAGTGCTCCACACTGGACGGTGGAAAAAGGGAATGAGTAAAGCAGTGCACATCAACAGTTTGTGTTATGGCTTACTCATGAGACAGTGATGCCAGCTGTTTCCACTAAAGCATAAACAGGGTGTAGTGTTTAGACTTACTTCTTCTGGATGGCCTCCTGCCTTGGTAAAACAAAGACAGACAGATTCGTTCAATATTCAGTTTGAGCAAAAATGAACTCTTCACAATAATGTACTCAGAAATAGCTGATTGATACTCACTGGTACTGTAAATGTGTGGTGATAATAGACATTTTTCTCAGGCTCTGAAAGACAGACAATAATGATGTGGATAATACAAACGAGCAGAAAACTTTATATCTTATTACTTTACTGAGTTGTCACAAGCACTAAGTGACCAGAGAATGAGAAAGCCCTGTAGAGTGAATCCTTTGGAAAGTGTAGTAGTTTGTAGTACTGTTGTCTTTCTCAGTACTAAAGTGCTTCTAATACTCTGTCCTCCCATGGCATGTTATTCACTGGCAGTATGCAGTATTTAGATATTGCACTTACATCCTCAGAGTGCAGAATGGCATCCTCCTGGATGACCATATTTCTTGCTGCTTGACCAAGAAGCTGTAAGACAAATTAGCAACAATATGGCATTTAAGGCTGCCACTAAGAGTTATTTTCAATTTATTATCAATTAATCTGACCAGGATTGTCTCATTTTTGGTCTGTCAGACAATTTTTTTTTATTGCAACACAAAACACATTTACAGGACAAAGCACATAACATACTACATGAGACAAATGAGACAACAGACATTAACAAAAGAGGCAAAGGGATTATTAACTGAGGGTATTAAGTTAAGTTGTGTGTGTGAAAGTGTGTAGCGTGTGTGTATCCAAGTCTATGCAGACTGATATTCATTACTTAAAGGAAAATAGAATTAAACCAAATAAATTAGGAAAATGGAGGGGGTATAAATGTAAAGGAATGAAAAGACAGTTTGATAGAAAATGGATTATTGTAGTAATAAAATAAGAAAAAGCAATATCAATCATATAATTTATACTTTTGCATTCACAT